TATACATGACGCCTATATAATACATAAGAATTGTGTGATTTGTATGTAAATAAACTGAAGTTTGGTTGTTATATAATATTTAATACATAAAGAGTTGTACGGTTTGTATGTAAAAATTGAAGTTTAAGTGTTAGATGTGTAATGCATAAGAATTGTGCAATTTGTATGTTAAATTTGAAGTTAACGTATAATATATGCAATGCATAAGAATTGTGTGTGATTTATATGTAAACATTGAATTTTGGTTGTTAGATGTATAATACATCAAAAATATATGTACAACCGATATCTAAATGTATCAATCCATAAATCTATATATATATGTTGCAGATGGATATTAAAAATTTGAGATCATAAATGTATAAAGGTTATATACAGAAAGAAAAACTCGTCAATGAGTTACTTGAATGATATTGAGAAATTTTTGCAAGTCAACTGTCCATTTACCTTTCAGAAGTAAATTATGATGTCCTTGTACGAAGTACAAAAATCAAGCATACTTAACACCTGAAAATGTCAAGTTAGATCTGTATCGCAAAAAAATTTAAACCCAATTATTGGTCTTGGACTGCACATGATGAATCAGATATTGAGAACGATCATATTGTTGTCTCATCAAGTTATGTCTCTTCAATGGAATACAATCCATACACATATGAAGAAATAATTTATGTGCCCACGGGGCTCTTTCTCTTGGGAGCATTCTTGATGAAGATCAAGCGCCGAAAAGTGAAGCACGATAATTCTATAATTTACTGAATATTGCACAATAACCCATGGGAAGGCTACGCTATGCATACGGTGTTGTCAGTAGAGCTGAGAATATTGAGCATCAAAGTTGATTTGAACATGTCACAAGAATGCATCAATCAAGTAGCAGCATTACTAAAAAAGACAACCTATAAAGAATTTAGTTCCGAATGACCTTTACAGAACTAAAAAGTTAGTATCGGAATCCAGTTAATATCTGATAAGATAAATTGTTGTGTTAATAAATGTATGTTATATTATAAGACTGATACAATAGAAACTAAATGTAAGTTTTGTGGTGCTACGAGATTCAAACCAAATGGGAGAGAGTTAAAATCAAAAACATATCTCATACAAGCGTCCCTTCTACCTGTCGCTCACGCATCGGCTTTAAAGACTATTTGCTTCTATATGTACATATCCTCACATGACTTGGCACAGTACCAAATCTGTTGATACTAATTATGAGTCATTTGTCGATCGTAGTTATCTTAATTTTGCAGCTGATCCACACAACATTAGGCTTGGTTTATGTACATATGGGTTCACAACATACAGTCACACCACAACACCCTATCCATATTGGTTAGTGATTATTATGTCATATAATTTGCCCCCTAATATGTGCATGGTTATGTCGTTCTTATTTCTGACTTTGATCGTATCAAGTCCACATAGCTCAAAGGGAAAAATTGATGTCAACTTACAGTCTCTGATAGGCGAGCTTCAAATATTATGAGAAACAGACATGCTGACTTATGACATGTCTATGAAATAAAATCTAATTGAAAATTACTCTTATGAAGACGATTAGTGATTTCCCAGCTAAATCGATGTTATCTGGTTGGAGCACTTCTGGAAAATTGATTTGTCTTTACTGTGTGGATCTATCCAACACATTCACTTTAAAACATAAAAGAAAAAATTCCCAAATTGATTGTCGTCGAAGATTTCTAGCCTACAAGCACCCCATTCAAAAAGAATAGAGATGCTTTCTTCAAAAATAAAATTGAAAAATAAAGTCCTCCTTTGAATATAACTAGGTTCGATTTATGGCAGATGATTAAAGAAATACCAGAGCTCGCTAAGAGACCAGAACTAGCATCAAAACATCTTCCTGATTTTGGTATTACACATAACTGGACAAAGCAATCTTTCATACTGGAAGACTACTTTGATTAGACATAATATCGATATTATGCATATTTAGAAGAATTTTTTGATAATATTTTTAATAATGTGATAAATATTAAGCGTAAAAAAATAATGTCAAAAAAAGATTAAACTTGGAGTATAGCAAGTGAATGTTAGAACTTCAAAAGATAAATACATGTAAAATAATAAAGCTCAAAGTTACATACTCTCACATTGAACCAATAAAGAATAACAAATAAATGGATACACTCTATGAAGTTCCCTAGTGGTTTGTGTCAAATTTGAGCGGTTGTATTGACTTGAGAACATGAAAGATATTTGGCCTGAAAAGTCATTACTATTATATTTTTTAACAATGCTTAGTACCAACTACATTCAATGTTCTGCCAAAACTGGTATTTAAATCATTGATCGAAATAAGTACATTCTTTAAAGAGTTGTGGGCAGGGACTCTGAAAGTTGAGTGGTTGAGAAATCTTGTTGTGACTATTCACTTATTGTTATGCAAGCTCCAGTGGATATTTTCTCCTGATTTTTTTGACTCTATAGAGCATCAGCTCACATATATATGTTATGAGGCTATACTTGGAGATCTGATACAGAACATATTGATGTATTCCTTTGAGAAGTATGTATTTTTGATGCCTGTGAATGTCTTACATTTTATTTTACACTAATCCACTACCATATTTGTTAAAAAATGTCTCCATGTTGCAGACTTCTAAACAAAATAAAAAAAATTATTAAAAGTAAAACACATCCAGAGGGCTCAATATAGGAGACGTGCTTTCTACAGGAGAATTATTTTTAGTTCTTACTATATTGATCAAGACGGCAAATATATCATACTGATGACATGTCTTTACAGCTAGAGTTATCTGTATTTTAGATATTAAGAGAACCATGAGGGAGGGTGGTACACGCTCTAAACGATAAAGAGATTAAAGCAGCAACATTATATGTTCTACTAAATTACGAAGAAATCAAACCATTTATACAGTAAGATTTCTAGTAATCATAATTTTTTCAATTATTATTCAGAATGTTATAATAACTTCAACAAACAAATAAAAATGATAAAGTTTAAACATAGGGGATGACTTTGGCATAAATAAGAAAATCAAAATCTTGGTTCATGTTTTAAGGATAGTTTAATATGGATAAATAGCCAGCTATAAACTTCATTTATGATGCAATAGTTGAAACTAAGGAGTTATTTGCACATAACTTATAAAAAAAAGACCTACTACAAAAAAATTTGAAAAATAATAGATGAGAATTGGGAGATTCTGCTTCATTATCATCTGCATCCCACAAAATATTATCTTATTTCTCAATTTCAATATGCAAAGAACAAATTCACCAATATTGAAACCAAATTTGGTTTATACCACTAATATAGACAAATTGATAACTGACTGAAATGAGAAAGCAAATGTTAGCCTGTTACTTGCAGCATTTAGAAATAAAGATAACTTTTTTAGCATTTATTGATTAATATTCCAATAAATTTGTACATTGTTTTAATGGTGTCGTTTCCAAAATTTAGTTGAATAGTAGAATCAATTTTAAGATACCATTCAAGAGCTGCAACATGCTCTTCATTTAGCTGTAAGAAAAATTGAAGTGCATGCAACCAAGTTTATACCAAAAGGACATAGTTTGACAACTTTAATTAAGGAAATAGGCTTTCAAAAATGATGAAAATCTATTAATTTGTAATGATGTGACATTAAATAGTAACTAACTTGTAAATAATGAAAATGACATTACACAAACATATTTGCAAGAAGAAAGCATCGGTATTGATTTTTTTCGAAGGAGAATATTGTAGAACCAATAGGTGTGACATAAGTTAGTTACAAATTAAAAGAAAAGATTTCAATAAAAATTTATTTGATTAAAATTATAAACAGCAAACATAGTCATTATTTTAACTTTAATCACTATTCCTATTATTTTTTATTGATTATAGAATAGAAAGATGACTGATATCAAAGATGAGAAAACTGATTAAGAAAATATTGACAACTGAGAATGATGCAAGAGAAAAATCAACTCATTAAGATGATGATTCTAATGAAGACCCATTGAGTGACGAATGTGTGGGAATTTGCGAATTTAAAAATTCTAAATTTAAGGGCTTATAATGTTCTTACTTGAATGTTGGATTTAGAGAGAAATACTGATTGTGTTAAACTTATTTTGAATTATTATGTTCAAACTTATCTTTGATAGTTTTATATTATAATTCTTGCTTGTGCCGCGTACTCAGATCAGTTGGTCGGGCATCTGCTTGTCAGTTTTGTAAGTCCCCTCTAGATTGATTGGGGTTTGATTCCCCCCGAGTGTAGGGTGTGGTACTCGAATTCTTAGGCGTCCGAGGGATGACCGGGACTCGTATAATAGCCTCTAGCCATTCCTTTCTTTTTTTAAATATATATATATATATATGATAATTCTTGCTTTGTGATTAAATGTTATGATGCTAATATATTATTGTTTACTTCATACTTTGTTGTTAATATAAAACTTCTTACTTTATGTAATTTATTACTTATGACGATCACATTTTGCATTTTAGAAAAAAGTTACCAGAATATGCAATGTGCCATTCTAAACCTTGTTCCAGAGTATAATTTTGTATGAAACATTATCCCTAACATCTGCAAGCCATTAAAATTTAAGTTAATTAAATCAATGCTGACAAGATTCACCCTTACTTATTTATCATGTGCTTCATATTTTATGCATGAAATTGTGTTTTTATTAACATATAACACCCAAACAGTAATGTTTTCTTTGAAAAGGGTAAAGGAACAAAAAGCAGAAAAAAAAAAATAGAATCATGATAAAAAAAGAAAAATACCAAAGATATCGATAAATATCCATTATCTGGTCCACATAGATTTAATCAAATGATTTTCTTAAAACAGTAAATAGAACAAATAGTTATCTTGAGTAGCACCAAATAAACTTTGTAATAATGAAGGCGAACAGCAAGAATTTGCATAAAAAACCAAACCTCAAATTCTAGTTTAGTAAAGTTAGGGTTATGTCGGTTAAAAAAAATTAAAAAAAAAAAGAATGCTCACCATCAGGAGGTTCTTCAGCTATTATAATATCTGTATCAATATTAGCGTGGATAATATGACCATCTGTACTACGGCGAACAGTTCCCTTAATGCCCATCAAACAGTGTTCCTGCTTGATAAATATTTAAACAAAAAATTTAAACTGTTTAGAGAACCCATGCCCATAGAAGTTGACTTCGATAAAGAATAAGGCTGGTAGTGAAAGAAATGAAAACTGAACAAATGTCAAACTTTCTGAACCTTTGAATGCTGAAATAATGTGTGAGAATCATGCCGCAAACCAGGAGTTGCATTCTTTTTGTTTGTTTTGACCCAACAAATATCTTCACATCTTCTAAATCCCCACTACACAAAAACAATAGTTGATGCATAAAATAAGTATTTAATAATGGATGAAAGTAATAATTTGTCATAGTATTACTTATGATGCGGATATAAAGCCTTCCACCATGGCCATTTTGTCACTTCCCTTCAAAAAATCTATCTATATGAACGAAATCATCAAAATTTGAGAGTAGAAAGGCAAGGAAACCGAGCCAACATACCTTTTTTAGACATTGACGACCTTGTTCGAGGCCAACACCATCACCAACCCACAAAAAAATAAATGATGGAGTGTCCGCTATAGCCTGATACAAAAAAGGCTAAAGTCTGAGATTCCAACTCAAATCATAAACTATGGTTCAAATCAGGGATGGAACAAACTTTATTTTTTAAGGTGGGTAAAATAACTGAATGTTTAATTATTTTTAAGTATCGGGCAAAAGAAATATATCTAGGTGGGGGTAAAGTTACTAAATTATATAAAGTGCATAAGAATAATTTATTAAACTTTACTGTTTATATAGAGAAATCTCAAATTCAAGAGTGGGCAATTGTCCGCCCAAGAAATAACCTACTTATGCCTCTAGTTCCAATCTGGTTGATACCATCATTTTGGTAGAGAATGCCACCAACATCCGGAGATTAGGACAGCATTTCACATTGAATCACATTTTTTAAAAACCTCCATTTAAGCCCCTAGCATCTTTTGAAGTTTCACTATGTTCCCGGCCTAATTTTTTGTCTTCTTAAAAGTCTTTCTTTTTGGTAAGAGTGTTAAATATTTTGTTAATTACGTAAATACTACCCAAATCTACCTTAACAAGGCATCTAATACCGAAGTAAAAAAAAACTATTAGACTCATTTATTTGAAAATTTCAAGAACAAACATTGAGAATCTAATGAAAACAATAATTAAGAAATTTGTAAGTGCATCGCCTGCATTATAATCACTAAAGGAAGAAATGCAGTAAAAATATAAGAGCATTTATATCATTATTAGTACAAATGACAGTTCAAATGGAAAAGCAATCGTGAAAGAATCTTGACTTCAACAGAACCAATGGAGGCTTTTCAAAAATGGGCATCAATGTGACTCTGCGAACATAGAATTAACAACTAAAAACACGTGAAGAAAGATTAGGATAATACACCTCAATTTTAAGATTTTGTATCTCTTCAAATGTCCAATACTCAATATGATCAGTAATACCAGGAGCCCGGTGAACATATTCCTCCCAAGGAGGATCAACTAGAATAACATCAAATTTGGTACCAAAGAATTCTGGAATAAGTGTGAATTCACGTAGGTTAGCCTTGTAGTACAAAGGTGGGGTAGAAGAGTTGATTACTATATCATCTTTCCTCTGAATAAGCTCTCTCAATTTAGGATAGTCCTCCACGACACTCGTGAGCTCCAACTCCCTAATAAAATTTTGGGGCCTCATACCAGTGTCAACAAAATTCTGTGAGTAATCATTCTGCTCTCCCCTTGAAGGAGCTTTACCGGAAGGGCCACCTGTTCTGGTTTGGCCCCAAATTGCAGGAGCTTTATCAATTGATGTTTCACGAACAACTGGTCCATTGGAACTAAACTCAGGCCCAGGCAAATTAGAATTGACTCTTCCAGAACTCTGTTGATTAAAGTACATGACCTGATTTGGGCCAGCCCCCAAATTAGGAGCAAACCTCGGTCCCGCTGGGCCAGGAGGAATGGGAGGAAGATTGGGTGGAGCAGCTAGCATATTTATGTCAACACCTCGACCTGCAGGCCATGAAAGGGGCCCAACAAATGGAGGAACAAAAACACCTGGACCAAGAGGTGGACCTACAGAAGGGGGCATATTTGGCCCCATTGATTGCATTGTTCCGGGAGGTAGGCCAAGGTGACCAAATGGAGGGCCCATCATATGCATTGGAAGCCCACCACGTTGACTATCCCTCCCTATCATCCTTCCTCTTCCACCTCTAACAGCTTTGCCACCTTTTTGTCCCTGTTGAGAACCTCTATTGAAAGAACTGGAACCCTGATTATATCCCAATGGAGCCTGAGAGAAGCCACTAACACTTTGGCCCTGTCCTATACGGCTGGAGTTCACAGGCCCCTTCTGACCTCTTCCCTTCCCAGCCTGAGAATCAAGATAATTCCTCCCAGATATTTGATCAATTGGTGAATCAACACCATCATGATTCTTTTCCTGCAAATCATCGTTGATACCATACCCCGCTTTAACCTTATCATCAGAAGGATAACACCATTCATCATCATTTGCAGCCCCCGAACTATCCTGCACTGACCCAACTTCAGCTCGCCTGCCAGGAAATGTTGACATAGACACATCACTCACAAAATCTAGATTATGGTTAGGCTTGATCTCTATTGAATCTGAGTTCTCAAATCTTCCGCCTTCACTCCTAGCTCTATTGTCTTTCTTATAACCAGGACGAAAGTGAAGTTTATCACCTTCCATTTTCAATGGCTCATGGCTTGGCGTGTCCCATGCCCTGATGTTATCAAACTCATTTACAGATTTAGCATCTTGCTTAGATTGACTTCTCCAATAATCTTTAGAACTTTCCCGGTCTATATTTCTATCATTCCAACTACCATCTTTTCCCTTAGAGGTCCTTAAATCTCTGTTATCCTTGAGCAAATCTTTGCCTTTAACAGCAGTGTTTCTTTCAGTATCAGATTCGGATTGGCCTCTATCATGATCTTCCAGATCTTGGTGATACCTTCTGCTACCTTCAGGACTTGGAGATCTATTATACCTCCCACTTCTTCCATTTCTGTCCCTCGTTCTTGGTTGTGTATCTTCATCAGACCTCTCCATAATATCAACCTCATCACGACTACCATGTAGAGCATCATGTTGTTGTTTGTGCTTCTCCCCTTTCTCATTATGAGACTTGCCACCATACCTATGCCATTCCATGTCCTCAGTCAGTGCTACCGGTGATCTCACCCGTACCTTAGTATGCTTATCATCTCTTATCAATTCAGTAAATTCCTTGTGATCATCACCTTGACTCTCTGACAGACCCCGATTCCTTTCTACATCTCCCCTCTTTCCATCTCTACTGCTACAAGCAACACCCTTTTCACCAGTGGAATCAATAATCCGGCCTCTAGCATGACCTGAGTCAGTTCTAGGATCGGATGCTCTGTCCCTAAGATTCCCTTGCTCTGAGGATTTTCCATTTCTTGGATCAGATCTATCCACATAATTACCTTCATCAGTTTTCCTCCATGAACCCATATCATCCCATCTCCTTCTAGTTGAAACATTCCTTTCTAGCTCTCGTTGACCATGAACCTTCTCTCTAGTGCTATCTTTTCTATCATAGTGTCTTGATTCCCGGTCCTGAGCCTTCTCAGCTTCACCTTCAGGAGGATTGTCTGACTTGCTTCTTCCCTTGCTCTCAGGGCTGTCATGTCCAGGACTTGAATTTTTCTTTCTTGAGGAACTCAGGTCAACGTGATCATTCATGCTTTTCTGGCAGCCTTCCAATTCTTTATCATGATAACCTTCATTTGATCTCACCTCAGATCTCTCTACTGTATTCTTCCTGGAAATTTTAGAACGTGATTCCCTTCTAGTTTCATAGTCTTCCTCATTAGTAGTCCCTGCTTGACCTAAACCTCCTGACTTCTTTCTTCCTTCATCTTTGTCTCCAGAACTCTTCCTTCTGCTACTGTCCAGCTCCTCAACATCTGTAGTGTTAAATCTCAACGACTTGCTTGATCTGTGCCGCTTCCGCTCAACATTGTCCCTGTCATCGTCTTCATCATATTTACTCTGCCTAACATCCATTTGTTCCTCTAGTTGCCTCTTATTGCGAATCTGAACTGTTTCCAAAGGATCCATTGTGCAAATTGACCATTAATTCGGATGACTTTGCAATATGGAAATCATATGAGTCATTTAAAATGTGCATATCTGCAGCAATTTCACATAAAAGCAACGTCAAACCATAGGAAAAAAAATATTTAAACATTGCATGCAAGTATCAGTATAATTGACAGTATATTGTATTATGAAAAACACAAAAATAACTGAAAGTACATTGTGATTTTAAAAGATTCCAGCAGTAAGTAGTTTGCATTAGGTGATACAAGTAAGCCTCACATTGACTTCAACAATAAAAACAATCTGAAATGATTACAAATGGACAAAAAAATGTAATAAAATAGAAAAAAAAATTAATCGCATCAATGGCATTTTATTGACCCAATATAGATTTTCTGCAATTATAAAAAGGGAAATTAACATACATACCACACAATTCTTATGCATTTACCTATCTAACACCGATATTTGCATTTATAACACCTGGGTGCATGAAAAGGGGCATTTCACTTTTAATAAAGTAGTGATGATGGTATTATTGATGTGCCGTTAAAAATTTGAGTGGTATGCAACTAAATATGAATGTTTAGGTGTTAGATATATAAATATATAAGAATTCTATGGAATTTATAAAAAATAAATATAGCAAACCTGCCTCTGATATTCCATTCAACTACCCCAAATAAAACAGAAATACACTCATAGAAACAATGTCTTCGCATACCTGATATTAGCTCTGCATTAAATGAAACAAACAAAGCAAACAATATCCCTAACTTTCAGATCCTCACCCTCCCAGCCCAGAATGAGCAATAAAGAATTGTGATTCCAAACTTTATTGAATTAAGAACTGCTTACTCCTACACAATCTAAAAAGTCCAAATTTGTAAAACCCTCGGACTTCATGCAAATAATTTTCCAAATCCAATCTTGCGAGTAATATACACCGCTGTACAAAAAGCATTCCTTAATTTGATCATTGAAATCGAATTAAAAAAGTAAGACGATCATTTTGGACAGTCATTTTGGAGCAGGATTTAAGCTGGATTTAACCTAAAAAATGCAAGACGGTCATTTTGGACAAAACAAAGCCTCGGATTTGATAATTCCGGATTTCACTGATTACGGCCTTTCCCGGATTTACTAAAGCCCGTGAATGGGTGGATTTAGTAAATCCGGGACGGACGCTCCGCGCGAGGAAGAAGACGTGAAGGTACCTTGCTCAATAGTTTCGGGTAGGAGAGGAGCAGAAGGAGGAGAAAAATGGGAGTTATCCCGTTCAATTCCCAGGTAGCTGCAATTGCTACTGCATCGCGAGAGGTCGGTCGCGAAGGAGATGGTTTTGGACGGAGGGACATGCGAGGGCTTCGAGGAGAGAGGAGTGACGTAGGCGAGGTTTCCACAGATCGGATTTGTTGTATAATTTAATTTATTTTTTTTTATTTTACTAAGCTAATTTTATTAATTTAGTTAATAACTAAAGTTATTGTCATTTGAATAGGATAAGGAAAAAAATAAATTCATATTGAAACAATTTTTTTTTTCTAGTTTATAAAGGGCCCGTTTGCGCTTATTGGGAGCGGCGGCGTTATGAGAACGCCGCCTTCCTGTTTGATATGTGCGTTCGGTTGGCGTTTTCTCATCGCTCCGCGTCAGCGTCAGATAAAACAAATAGGGATTTTGTCGTTGTGTGAGCCCCGCGTCCGGCGTTAGAGATCTGTGTTACCCCTAGGAATTCTGGAGGTGCCCTCGATATCCCTTGTCGTCTCCCTCGCTGGTTTCCTTTCTGGTTTGTCGCCCTAGAGGAGATCGAACCTTCTTCCTTTATTTTCTTTGTTGATAATCAGGTATCCATTCGATTTTCCTGGAATGCTTTCTTTGCCCTGATCTATGCAAGAAACGATCGTTGGTTTCCTTTCTGATCCATACAAGCGCCGATATTTTAGATCTATGGCATTAGTTGTTTATGGCAAATGTTAGATCGCAGGTTATAGCATTTTCTCTGGTTTTTGGTTTTTAGGGCATTTGAGATAGGTTGGCATTTTACCTGACTGTCGGATTTGTGTTGCTAGCCGTGATCCTGGAAACCTGGTTGTTGGATTTGTGTTTATGTTTAGAAGCGAGGATATGTGGCGTTTTATCTGAGATATTTTCAGGCATCTCAGATATTTGAAATGTGGCTTTAAAATTTTGGGCATCTGTTTTGTGGCATGCGTTCTTTGCTTGGAGGTGTTGGCTCTGAGTATTTCATTTATTGCATAACTTACATATAAAATGAAAAAGATATATGATTTCTCCCTTATTGTTCCCTGGTCCATCCTTTTTTCACTAGTAAATGACTGAAAGCATGAAGCTCCTCTTACCCTCTATAGCAAAGATTATTTTAGGTCTCTGCACTATATGCTTAAGTACTACTAATAAGATATTCTGAATAGTACTGATTTGTGATGATTTTATGTTTCTGCACTATATGCTTTAGTACTACTAATAAGCTATTCTGAATAAGCTGCCCCAAACAGTTTTATCAAATAGGGGCATGAATGGAAAGAAATATATGAAATTAAGAAACTTTTTTTTAATATATTGCATGAGGCTTTGGAAACAAAGCAAAATATAAAGATATATAATGCATAAATAAAAACATTTTTCAATCTGTGTGATCGTTGGAATGAATACAACCAATATTATTTTGATATGATGGAGCCATTGGAAGGGTAATAGAAATGCACATATTCATATATGATAAATGATATTTAAGCAATTCAAATCATGAAAATCATAAATACAAAAATCTGACCTATTTTAAGATGTTATATTTTGATTAAATAAAATATACATTATATTAAATTGTATTTTCAAAGGATATAAATGTTGAGAAGCAACAAGTATGAATAAAATATAGAATTTTGAATTGTTATAATAAAAATATTAAATGAATAGTAACATTTTATTTTTATGAAATCAGATTTGATAATTTACAAATATAAAATCATTAAATAATAATATGATGATTTTGTTCAAAGTTTTCTAATGAGTTCTAAATTATTCAATAATTTAAAATTTATTTTTATTTGTTTTTATTATACTTTAATAAATATAATTGGTTTCACACCAATCATAATTCTAATTTGATTATATCAAATTTGAACTTTTGCGATAATTGAACTTATTTTGATCATCTTGAAATTTAGGCTTCCTTAATATAGATAATCACATTATCATGAAATTTTTCTATAAGAAAATGTTAGGTTCACCAGTCATGAGTTTGTTATCATCAAAATTATAAAGTCAACGATCTCCTCCTTTTTTATGATGACAAACCTATGTTGGTTAAATTAGGATAAGATGCAATGTGACCTTAATTTACATATACATATCCTACCTCTTAATGTATGTATATTAAATAAATCAAATAATTTAAATTCCTAACATATATTTTCATCCTCTTTTGAAAAAATAAAAAAGACAATATTAAGCAAAATAAATTTCATATAGTGAAAATCATTCAGACATATGCTAGGATCTAAAATTTCTAATCTTCTTCCAACTTCACAAAAAATGGTTTTCATCTAAAGGTTTCATAAAAATATTAACTAATTGTAATTCAGTTGGAACAAATTCAATAACAATATCATCTTTAGCAGCATGATTTTTAATAAAGTGATGTTTAATCTCAATATGTTTAGTGTGTGAGTGTTAAATTTAATTTTTTGTTAAACTAATAGCACTAGTATTATCACATTTAATTCGAATGTATTCTAATTTAAGTCCATCTTCTTCAAATTATTATCTTAACCAAAGAACTTGAGCAACCTAACTATCTAGAATTTTGTACTCAGCTTTTGGAGAAGATAAAGCAACAAGATTTTGCTTTCTAAATGACCATGATATAAGGAAAGATTATAAAAATTAACATGCTACGATCAACCTTACAACCAGCATAGTCAACAAAAAAAAAACAACTGTCGCATGACAATGAGTTTTAAGCATACTACATACTTAACCTAGATGAGCCTATCAGATATCGAAGTATAGGCTTAACGATAATTAAATGTGATTCTTTAGGAGTTGTTTGAAAATGAGCACAAACACATACAAAAAAACATAATGTCAAGTCTACTAGTTGTAAGGTATGATAGTAAACCAATCATGCTTCTATAAAGTTTGTTATCTACGAGTTTTTCATATTCATTTAAGTCTAATTCAATAGTTTGGCTCATGGTGGTCTTATTAGATTTAAATTTTTTTAATGTCAAATCATTCAAATCTTTTATGTATTTAGTTTGGCATATAAAGATACCATCATTTTTTTTTGCTTTACTTGAAGACCTAAAAGTAAGTTTAGTTCTCTCATCATATTTATTTCAAATTCCTTACTCATCACTGAAAAGAAGTCACGACATAAAGATTTAATTGGGCTTCCAAATAAAATATCATCTACATAAATTTGAATAATAATAATGTCAACTCCTATTATCTTAAAGAAAGAAGTAGCGTCTAATCTAAATTTTTTAAAATTATTTTATAAGAAAAATTTGTCATGTATAACATAACATGCTCTAGAGGCTTGCTTCGATCCATCTAAGACTTTCTCTAATTTGTATACATGATCTGGATGATTAATATCCTAAACTACTGGAGGATGTTCTACTATGACATTATGAATTGCAAATCTATTTAAAAAAGCATCTTTTACATCTATTTGAAATAGTTTGAAATCTTTATGGTAAGTAAAAGCAAGGACATGCCTAATGGAATCTAGCTACTATAGCTAGTGATTCTTCAAAATCCATTCCTTCTATTTGACCATAACTTCAAGTCGCAAGCCTACCTTTATTTCCAATGAAAAGCCCAAGTCGTTCAATTTATTCTTATAGGCCCACATTGTTTGAAATACATTATAATATTTAGGCCTTTAGACTAGTTCTTAAACATCATTTATTTTAAATTTACCTATTTCATCTTCTATGGTTATAATCCACAAAATCATCATTAAGAGCTTCATCAATATTTTATGGTTTTATTTCAAATAAATACAAATAGTGATTAAATTCATCTCTAATTTTACTTATACTTTTAATACCATGAGTTAAACCTCCTATGATTAAATATTTTGGATGATTTTTTGCATACTTTTATTCTTTAGAAAGATTATTTGAAGTTTCACTTTTTCATCTTTAGGATCATTTAATTTAATATTTTGAACCCCCTATCAACTTCATCATTACTGACATCATTTTTAGTGGATCTAGATTTAGGTTTATCAAAAAGAACATGTATTAATTCTTCAACTATTAATGTTTACTTAATAAATACTCCATATGCTTTAATATGGGATGAGTATCTAAGAAAAATTGCATCAACGAATTTTATATCATTTTTTTTCCAATTGATCTTTCTATTATTTAATAAATAACAAGGACAATCAATACATAAAAATATGAAATTTTAAGTTTTTTCCTCGAGCAACTCATAAAGAAAATTCTTTAATATGGGTATTAAATTTACACTATTTATAACATAACATACTGTGTTGATTGATTCAACCCAAAAATATTTTAGCAAGTTATATTCATCTAAAATATGCCTAGTCATCTCAACTATGGTTCCATTCTTTCACTCTCTATTTTTTTAAGGCGTTCTTGGTGCTGAAAAATTAAGTTGAATTTCTTATTTATCACAACTTTCTTCAAATTTATTATTTTCAAATCCTTTGCCATGATTGGTTTGAATTTAAAAATTAGATAACCATGATTTTTTTTAATATACTTAGCAAACCTAATCAATTCACCAAAAGTACCATACTTATTTAATAGTAATCATCAACAATAACAAAGCTACAAGTTTTTCCTCTTAGACTAGCTATATTAACAAACTAAAAAAGAATGCATGTGAAGCAATTCAAGTGGTCTACATGTATAGATAATATTTTAATTTTGAAAAGATATTGTAGTTTGCTTTCCAAGTTGGTATGCATTACATGCATGATCTAAAGTAAATTCTAACTTTGGTAAACCTGTTATAACATCTACTTTTGAGATTTTATTTAATGTATGCATACTATCATGATATAATTAGTTTTAAAACATATACAATTTTAAATTTTCAAATTATGAATATCTAGTATGTAAACATTATTATTTTTTTATTTCCAACAAGAATAATTAAACCGTTTATTATAATCAAATATTGTGATCAATAAAAAATAATTTCATAAGTTTTAACATATAATTGACTTATACTCAAAAGATTATGAATTAGACCATCAACTAATAATTTTTTTTTACAGTGAGTTTTTACCTATGGAACCAATTCATATGACTTTTTATTTTGAGTTATCTCCAAGCATGACTTCTCCTTCATCAATTAGTCTAATGATGCAAATCTAGTACGATCACATGTCACAT